ACTATAACCAGCTAGCCTGATGAGCTTAACATAACCTATTCTCTCTCCTGCACCTACCCTTCTCCTCCCTTTCAAAAATAGCCCGGTGTGACACAGCCTTTCCCATGCTCGCTTTTTCTATATTTCTGTGTGGATGATTTAAATTGTACACTAAGTATGTACTGCAGGGCCTGACAATGTCTGCAAAAGTGTAAAACACAACATTGAGAGGGAAGGTCAATGCAGTCCCACCACCTGAATGGCCCTATCTCGCTTCCCTCGAAGAATCCAGCTTCCTCTCATCCTTATGTTTTTTCTTCATTCACCCAGTGCCCTAGTCTTACTATTAAATGGCTGTTATCGTCATCCCTTCTAATGTGTTAGTTGTTAGGTAGCAGCTCTGAGGTGAGTAACATTTTTTAAAGGACACTCTTGAAGGAGGAAGGGGAGTGACCTTGAGGCAGGTACTGCTGTTTCCTCCAATCACAGGCAAGAAATCAATGATGATTTGGAAACTACCTCTGAAAGTGTGCCAGTCATTGAAACAGTTCTTTTTATATCCTTTCTACTCTTCAAAGCCTTTCTGCACACATATCATTTCTTTTGAACTTCCAAACAACCTGTAAGGCAGCGAGAGTAAGGTAAACTTGTTACCAGTTTACCAAATAGGATGCAAAGTCACAGAGAGGTTAAGTGGGTTTCCTAAGGTCACACAGCCTGGGCAGCAGCAATCCTGGATCTGCAAGCTTCCAAAATAAATCATTTTTCTTACCACAGAGGCACTTCTCAAATTCCATCTCTGGGCACTAATGCTGCATGGCACTTTCTGTGAGTGCCCCCATCTCTAATTTCTGCCTGTCTCAGTCCAAGTGATTCCAGAACATAAGACCCAGCTTTCTCAGCTGACCTTCTCTAATGTATAGCAATATAATGAGGATGCTGACATTCTATCATATGATATTTCTGCGATCATTGTTTGGGGTATTTTAAGTGGTGTTATATTTGGCCTCAGAATTGTACTGACAATATACTAAGGGTACACTTTAAAAATCAAATGAGGAGAAGTAGAAAGTCTAAAAGGACTTAAAAGGTGTACCCAAGTCTCCCAACTGGAGAATGAAAAATCTTTTCAAGTGCGGCAGGCCCTTGGATAATGTCTTCTCCCTCGATGTCGTTTTACTATAACGTTTATGAGATGCGTAGGAACTTAACTCTTGTTTATGTCAATTCCCCTACAGTAAAACTGGTTTCCTTCTCTGTCATTTTACTTAAGGTCACAGAACCTCCTTTGGCATTAAGTGAGGACTTACTGTACCCTATTCTGTATGCTCTAAACCTTGAACTAGTTTGTTCTTAAACCACAGTTCCTGCGATCATGTTGGGAGCCGTGCCCGGCAGACGAGGGAGATGGGCCTGGTGTGGCGGCCCCTTCAGGGAGGCTGCATGTAGGAAGTTCCTTGGGTTCAGCCTGGGGTGGGGGACACCCTGCTCTTTGGCGGCATAAAGACTGGAGGGAGGGCTTCCTTCTTCACCTCAGCATGCGGTTCATAAAAGCGCCTCTCAGATCACAGACCACTGAGTGTCGTCTTCAAGACCCAGTCTGACCGCCGGCATGGGGCGTTCCACGCGTGCTTCTCATCCGCGGCCTTTGTCGGGCTCGTCACGCTGCTTTCCATGCACGTAGCTGCTCCCGCTCGGGCGCCCCGACGGCCGGCTCCGGCTGCGCGGTCAGCTCAGCTCTGCTCTGCCTCGGGTCCAGATCCCTCCACCTGCGTGAGACTGCACGGTCCGAGGCCGCCTTTCCACCTGCAGGCTGGACGCTAGCCCGTGTGTTTCACACGAACCAGGTCTCCTGCTCCCCGCAAACACCGCCACCGTCCGCCGCCTTCTGGGCTGCGTCCCCCGTGCACGTGCGCTGTTCCGGCTCAGGCCCACTCCGTGTCCGCGTCCAGCTTCAAAACAGTCTTTGCTCCAAACTCAGCTATTTATAGACAATTAACCCTTGAACAACACAGGTTTGAACTGTATGGGTCCACTCACAATGGGATTTCTTTTCAATGAATACTCTAAACGTATCTTCCTTCTGATTTTCTTCATAACATTTTCTTTTCTCTAGCTTACTTTTTGTCAGCAGACAGGACATAATGCAGGTAACATACAAAATATGTATTAATTGAGAGTTTGTTACCTACCGGTAAGGCTTCTGGTCCACAGCAGACTGTGAGGCGTTGAGTTTTCGGAGTCAAAAGTGATACGTGGATTTTCAGTGCCCTTCCACCCCCACCCCACCCCACCCCACCCCACCCCCACCCCCACCCCCGTTCAAGGGTCAGCTGCACATGGCTCCTCCCTCCTTTTAAATTGTGGTACGTAAGGCAACAGATTGGTTCATGGTAGATGCGCAATACATTTCGTTGGGTAAGTGGACGAATCTCATTCATCCACAGCGTGTCACGATTGCAAGGAGGTGCAACGGGGTCTCAGTGTCCGTTGGTGAATCAGTAGATCATTAGCAGAGCCCTGGCCTTGCTGATTTGTGGCCCAGGGCCTTACCGTTTGCCTGGGCTGAATGTGAATATCCATCACATCAGTGCATAGTGAGAAAGTTTGGGGGGGAGGTTTGTTTGCTTTTTTAGGATTCCTGAAGTTTTGAAGTAGTAATAATACATTTTGTCCTAGCCGATTTTGTCCTTCTTACAAGGTTGTGTGGTTTAGAAGGAGCGGAAGAAAACAAAACCTGAACAAAAACTCAAGCTCCCCACTGGAGGTTTGGGGCCAGTCCGCCTGACTCCCAGAGCAGGCCCAGCGCCCAGCGAGGCGATCCCCGTGAGCAGCTGTGCTCACTGCTCCTCTGGTGAACTCCTGGAGTGTGACTGGAGGGCTGACCCAATGAAACCCAACCAGCAGGGTCACCCGGGGCCGCTGAAGCATGAGTCTGCGGTTCTCAAGTCTGTGTAACAGAATCTGAGCCACGCACAGCGAGCCGGGCCAGGGGCTATCTGGTAGCCAAGGGCACGGCTGGGGCTTTAGGATAACAGCACAAGGCTGTAATCGGACGCCATCCCAGGACATTTAGCCAGTTAATCATCTCAATCACCCATCCTTTATTCAAGCACACCAGGAGCGGCGTTCTCTTTTGACGGCTCCCTTTGTCCTTCCAGGCCACACCAACAGTCTGCTGTCCTTACTTTCTCCTTATGGCACGTAAAACGCACCTGGCATGGCGAAAGCATCTTGTCACCACGGGCGTCTCTGTGAACACTGCTCCCAGAGCCCACACCAGCACGGGCAGTGTAAGGGCAAGGCTTGAAGTCGTTCTTCAGACCTCATTACGACTGTCATCCACAGAGATGTGAGACAAACAACCGTGTCATCTGAGGCAGGCGTAGGCCTTACTACCCCATAGCCCTTAGCATTATCACAATTATCCATTTTATTTCAGCCTTAGAGAAGATTAAAAATGGTGAGACTTTTTCGTGTCTTAAATGTTAAAAATTCTCAACAATAGCAAATCCATAGAACTGAATCCCACGGGGAGCCCAAGCACAGCATGAGGCTCACACTCCTCCTTCAGGCTTTGTGTCAAGGGGAGTCAAGACAGACTTTGGAGGCAGACTTCTGGGTCTGGCCCTCGCTGCTGCATAGCCTTACCAAGTCTCTCTGGGCCTCAGCTTCCTCATCGGTAAAGTGTGAATGGTAACAACAATACCACCTCAACGTGATGACTGTGATAATTAAATGAATTAACACATGGGAGGTCAGTCAATGTTAGCTCTTAGTTGCACTGTCTTGAATCTAACTATGATCCATTGTTTGGGGAGTTTTATGGTTCCTGGGAAAATATGACCTTAGTTCATCTGTAATAAGGGAGAAAGAACACACTATATCTTTTTCTTTAATGTTCAAGTCTCTACGTCAGTGATTCTCAAAGTGTGGTCTGGGGACTCCTGCAGATCACCCAGACCCATGTCCTTGAGGTCAAAACTATTATTTTCTTTTATTGAGAAATAATTGATACATATCACTGTACAAGTTTAAAGCATACAGTATAATGGTTGGCTTTATATTGTGAAACAATTACCACCATAGGTACAGCTGACATCCAGCTTCTCACAGAGATGCAATAAAAAGAAAAAAGGAAAAAAATGTTCTCCTTGTGATGAGAACTCAGGATTTACTCTTAACAACTTCCCTCTACATCACGCAGCTCTGCTAGCTATTGCAAAACCACTTTTGTGATTCTAAAATGTTGTTTGCCTTTTTCACTCCCATTCTTTCATGAGCGTGGAGTGGAATTTCCCGGAGGCCACATGCTATGTCATGAGGCAGGAGGAGGCCTTACTGCCCAGTAGCCCTTATCGCTATCTGCATCATCCATTTCATTTCAGCCTCAAAGGAGAAGATTAAAAATGGTAGGATTGTCCGGCTGGTGTGGTTCAGTGGTTGAGCATCGACCCATGCACCAAGAGGTCGCCAGTTTGATTCCCGGTCAGGACACATGCCCGGGTTGTGGACTTAATCCCCTGTATGGGGCATGCAGGGGGTGGCCAATTGATGTTCTCTCTCATCGATGTTTCTATCTCTCTCTCCCTCTCCCTTTCTCTCTCTAAAAAACTAATAAAGATAAATAAAATAAAAATGGTAGGATTTTTTGAGTCTTATGTTAAAAATCCTCAACAATAGCATAGAACTTAACAGTTAATGGAATGTATGCTTGTACATTCTTGTGTTTGTCTTTTTTTATATATTCTTTGGTTATTTCTAATAGAGTAAATAGCAATAGCTATCACCGACATAAATGAATCTCTTTGTGGGTGCTCAGTAATTTTTAAGAGTTTAAAGGACCCCGTGACCAAAAACTGGGAACCTCTGCTGGACTATTGCAAGTCAAAGTCACCTTCCCTACCCATCTCAACATCTGTAATGTGAAAATACCAAACTTGTCCTTAGCTTTGGGACCCTGCCCCCAAAGACAGGCCCCTGAAGCTGCTCTGCCTACATGTTGTCACTCTGTGTTTCAGGCTGTCTGGGTCCGATTTGCCTGGCGAGGAGTGGCTACTGGACTACGAGAAGCATGGCCAGCGCCATTCCATGATCAGAAGGGTCAAGAGGTTCCTGAGTGCCCACGAACACCCCTCCAGCCCCAGGGGCAGACGCTATGGGAGGCAAGCCAGCGAGAGCTCCACGTTCTTCCCTGCTGGCGACCTGAGCCCCACCCGGGACCTGCTGGACGTGCCCTCGCGAAGCCCCCACCGTGCCTCAGCCTCCTGGAAGCAGGTCTCCCCGGAGGCGAGCCCCAAGCTGCACGCCAGCCTGGGAGAGCTGTCCACAATCAGGGAGACCAGCCGGACAAGCACCTTACAGAGCCTGACCCCACAGTCCAGCGTGAGGGCCTCCCCCGTCAAAATGCCTCAGGTGCCCGAGGTACTGATCACAGCCCCGGGGCCGCCGGCAGAGGACCAGCGCGGCTCCACTGGCTCCATCCAGAGCTTCCAGTTCACCGGGCTTCAGCCAAGCAGCACTGGGAAGCAGGAGGACCCCGTGGGATTGATCCTGTTCCCCTCAGGGGAGGGGACACCTCCTGAAGGCCCCAGTCCCCACACTGCTTCAGCCAAAGCTGAGAAAATCATTTTCAAGTTTGCGCCTGAGGAAGACCCCTTTGAGAGTGACACGTTTCCAAAGCGGTGGAGCCTCCCCGGCTTCCTGGAGTCCAGCCACGCCTCCCTGGAGGGCCCGAGTCAGGAGCCCGCGAACCCTGAGCCGGCTCTTTTAATCGACACAGAAACATCCTCCGAGACCAGTGGCATCAACTTTGTGGCCGGCTCTCCCACCTCTCCTGACCTGCTGTATTTAATGGAAAACCTGGACGCCAAGGAAACGGACATCGTAGAATTTAACAACGAGCGCACGGAGGAATCGCCCAGGGGGATGCGGGAAAGATCCGGGACCTGGTTCTAGTCTAAAGCCTCACTTCCCCGAAGTCCAGCATCGGTTCCAGAACATACCTGAGGACTGGTCAATTTTTTTAAAAAAGCAATCATACTGTATAAGCTATTTAAAACTTTGAAGGGCATTATGATCCTGACTTTTTCAGAACTAAGGATGTGGAGCACATTCTCCACCATCGAGTGGCTTTCATGGATGTTACAGAGACCGCAGTGATGTATCTCATCCAAACAAGGAGTCTTAAATGCATACGTGACTTACAAATTCATAGATTGTTAGCTTTGGAAAGCACCTTAGAGATCATTATCTAATCCCCTAGTTTTGCCAATAGGAGACAAAGAATTCCCTATTTGTTTCTGGGTTTTTTTCTTCTTCTTTTCTTCAATTACAAAAGCAAGGAGATGGTCCATAAAATGCCTCAAAAGCCACATTCTCACTGTGGCTGTTTGGTTTGAGGCTTTCTCACCATTTCACTCCCACTTTCTAAACTGTTACCACCGCGTCCCCGTTCTTGAGCTTTGTCAGCGTCAAGAAGCTGCATCTCCCTCCCTGTTCCTTTCCCACTTTCGCGACTTCACTTTTCTCTTTTCTCCCTTTCTTCTCTCATCCTTTTCTCATTCCCTTCTTCCTACTTTCGCTCCTTCTCCAATGACTCCAATCTGCCCCACCTTGCAGGTTATGATATTTTCTTTTGCCAACTTTGTTGCTTACTTTTGCCATGACTTTTGAAATATAAGGCATTGGTGTCGCCTCCTACAGAATAACCAAAGATGTCAACAAATCCAGCTTGACGCACCTCCAGCCTCACGGTGGGGGTGGGAGTCGATGGGCCCGCTGCACCCTAGGCAGCCATGGCTGTTTCTTCCGCTCTATGGTCTTGAACACCGGAGAAAATCGAAGCCGAGATGGGCATGAAACCTCAATAACCAAATGCTATGGAACCAAAGAATACCAAAGCTTGAATGTGTTTAACTCGAACTCTTAAAGCCAAAATCCCAATCATGTCACAGCGTGGGACCAGTTACTGTGTCTGCCGGGTTGTTTGGGATGAGGTAGGATGTTGCAGCCGGGAGGTTAAGGGGGTTCAGGACTGCACAATGGGGAGGGGTTGTGGATGGACTCACTCCAAGGAGCTCTTGGGGTGGCTGCTAGTGGGGGAATCCCATTTTTGTCTGGAAGGCCATACCTTATGCGTGCTGCTCTCACTATTTCTGTCCTGTGATGGAGCTTGACTATCTATGGTTTCAGAAATAAAGTAACCCCAACTAAGAGCTACCGTTTATGGAGTGCTCATGGTGTTCCAGGCAGGAGACGGAAAGTTCACAGACGACCTCACTCATCTTCACGGGAATCTTATGAGCTGATAAACGATTACCTGCATTTTCAAGACAAGGAAAACAGAGACTTTGGAGAGGTACAGTAATGTAACTAAATCCACATAGCTAGGAAGTGGCAGGGCTCAGATTCAAGGGTTAGCTGACTCGAGAGCCCCTATTCTCAGCCAGTGTCTCCCTCACTGAGCTGTGCTGTCTGCAAGGCCTGACTCTGCCCATCTATCCGGAACTCGGGAGGATGCCCTGAGAGGACCATGCCTACGTTTCTCCAGCCTCGGAGGCCTCCCTCCATCCTCACTGCATCTTTTATGCGTTCATACAGGGGGGCATTGCTCCACCCCGGAGCCCCAGCCATGGTCCTCTTCGTTTTTCTGAAAGAAGAAAGTTGGCAGGACCCTCCCTTCCCCCCACCCCCAGGTCCTCCTGATATGCAGTGTTATCATTAGCACATTTTACAAGGCATCTCAGCGGACCACTCAGCCGCACAACAGCAATGACGTTTACTTTACTGACCTTTCTCCAAGGACTAAAAGGAAGTAACATTGAAGGAAATGCTATCAATCGATGGTTTTCTATGTTGGTCGATAGTGTTGCTACCTGGGAAGGCACTGATGTTCCCAAAGCACTACGTACAGACCCAGGTTCAAGGCCCAGTATAACACTTTTACAGGCAGGAAGCTTAACCATCTCGCAGCCTCTTAATGCTCTTCTCTTGGATGTTTCAACCTAAGTCACTTTACTCTTTTCTCTTTGGTTTTATCTATTGCTCAGATGCAAATGTTTCTACTTAACTGCTTTTGAAATATAATCAATGTTTTTGTGCCTAAATGCAAGGTGATAAATTACACACAGATAGAATCATACATTTTGTGGCGGACTAAGAGAATGTTCATTTATCTCTGCTTCCATCCTTCCCTCATGCACCTTTTTCCAGAGAATTATTTTTTAAATATGTTTTTAATGATTTTTTTAGAGAGAGAGGAAGGGAGAGAGAGAGAGAAAAACATTAATGAGAGAAACATCGTTCGGCTGCCTCCTGCACACCCCTACTGTGTATTGAGCTCAAAACCCAGGCATGTGCCCTGACAGGGAATCAAACAGGGACTTCTCAGTCCATGGGACGATGCTCAATCCACTGAGCCACACCGGCAGGGCTGTCCAGAGAATTCTTTAATTTTCTTGACACTTCATCAAAATCTGTGATGGCCTCCCATTTCCTCCTCGCACTGAAAACTGGACAATGATTCATTCGACAAGCCTATCACCTGGAGTTCTGGTTTTTCCAGTCGAACTCGTGTGAAGTGACACGTCATTACTGTTCAATTGGCATTTACTGGCGTATGACATTTATCTGATTTCCTAATGACATTCAGCATCCCTTCATATTCTTCTTAATTCTGTTGGGACTTCTATTTTTAAAATTGCCTTTCCAAGTCCTTTGCCCTTTTATCTATATTTCTCCTGTTGATTTCCAGGAGTTCCTTCTATATTTCAGATTGATAATAGTCCCTTGCTGGTTTTGGACATTGCAACAGTCTTTCCAATTCTTTGTGTGTCTGTCAAAAGTGTCCCTGGTGTTCATTGTTCAACAGAAATCCTTAATTTTGATATAATCAAGTTCATCAATTTTTTGCTTGTACTATTCTTTTGAAGTTTTGAAAAACAATCTTTGCCCACCCCTATGTCATGATTGTTCACCTACCATTTTTTCTATTATCTTTACAACCTTAGGTAGGAATTCAGTTTTCTTTTTCTCCATAGAGTGAGCCAGTATCCCTACAACCCCTCCTACTAAACGACAAGTGATAAGTTCCACATATTTCTTGCAAACCAGATACACTGGCATGAAACAAAATAGCTTCTGAGAGAACTAAAAGACAGGGTGTATGAATGGAAAAAAGAAAGCTGTTTTAACCTCATAAAACTCTAGCTCCTCCCCACTGAATACAAATCTCCAAATGCGTCATCCTCTCTTGTCTTCCAACTGGCGAAATTCCCCGGCGAAATCCCCCGTTCCGGTGCCTGGAGTGTGTAAACTCGTTATATTCCTCAGTGGAAAAAAAAACCTAAAAATGGCCTGTCTGTGATTAGGCTGAGCCTAAATCGCAGGGTAAAGCCTGCTACATGCGGAGCGCTTGCTAAAGGACAGGGATGGTGTTACAGGGATGGTTCAGGATCCTTCAACACTCAAAAGGAGGCAGGATGGAATCCGGACAGGTGGAGTCCACCCTCAGGCTATATTTAGGGCCTGGGGTCAGCAGAGGCGCAGGCGGCACACCAGGAGGTCTGCATCGCGTTCTTGTGGGGGTGGAGATGCGCCCTGGGTCTCGGGGACCTGCCCCGCCTCCTCTGTGCCCTCCTGTGACAAGCTGTGCTCCAAGATGGCTGGGCATTGGGTGTTTTCTGCCTTGTTTGAGACACTTGCTGATGGTTTCAGAAGAGTTAATCTCATCTTTATTCCTCCAGAAATGAAGCTTTCCCCAATTGGCAGCATCCTTGATTTTAATAACAAGCTCACTATTTATCCACGTGGTCATTGGACCCTGTAAATCCCAAAGGGAAAAACACTTTTCGAGATCAGAAAACACTTTTAAACAAAAGACCAGTCAGAGTTTTTCCCTAGTAAAATGGATTTTGACTACTTATATTACTAAAAAAAAAAAAAAAAAATGTGAGAACACAGGCAAGTTCCTGAATGACACAGCCACCTCTCTTCAAATTTGCACCCCCTGGCCCCAATCCAGAGCCCGTGTGCCCCTGCTGCTCTGTCCAGGAGGAAGGTCCAGGTCTAGCTGAGGGAGCTCAGGTGAGATAATGCAGCTCTCAGGGCACAGTGGAGGTGGGGCCTAACTCCTGCCCAGGAGGCAGCCACGCCCCTTCCCCCCCGGAGGTAAGCTCTGTTCACTGTCTTCAACCAGTGTATGCCCGGCTTCGGACTGTGCCTGACACCCCTCAAAAAAAGAAAATTTGATGGATGAATCCTTGAAAGAATGAATGAATAAATGAACCAAATTAAATTTAGATCCAAAGTTAGGAAACCTAAAATCTCAGTCAAGCCCTGGCTGGTGTGCTCAGTTGGGTGGGCATCATCCCGTGCACCAGGAGGTCGCCAGTTTGATTGCAGGTCAGGGCACACGCCTGGGTTTCATGCTCCATAAGTGCAGGAGGCAGCCGATCAATGTCTCACCCTCACATCCATGTTTCTATCTCTCCCCCTTTCTTCCTCTCTCTCTATGAAATTAATTTTAAAATCTCAATCAAAGGTGATCACAACCTTAACTGTATGGTTTCAATCAGGTTATTTGAACACTCTGGACTTCATCTTGCTCAGCTCTAAAGTGAGTGGTTAGATTAAGTGATTTAAGGTTCCTCTCAATGCTTTTCCAGTCCCTTTCTGGCAATTCTATACATGGATACTGAGAAAATGGAGAAAGACACAAAAAGGGGAGTGGGGTAGGGAAGGGCAGAATGAATGCCTATTGGGCACCTTGGTGTGCCAGGTGTTTTCATGTGTCACTTCAATCGATCTTCACAAAGATCAGTCATTGTATAGAGAAGTTCAATTACTTGCTGAAAGTTTCAAAAAAGTTAAAATTTCAATCTGGGATTTGAACCCAGACCTCTTAGATTCATTGCTGATTCTACTGTTCCACACTGCATCAAAACGTAACTCAGTAGAACAACAGATTATACAGTCAATTATACAGTTACTCAACCAGCTCCACTGACTTAGCCTTGGAAGGCTGGTGGGGAACCTTGGGAAGCCGACATGTATTGAATACCTATCATGTGCCAGGTGCTATGGCAAGTGCTGTACACACATGATCACACTTAATTCTCATAACAAACTGGGCGGTGTCACTATGTCCATTTTACAGATAAGGAAACTGAGGCTCAGGGAAGTGAAATAGAGTGCTCATGTCACCGAGCTGAGAGCTGGCAGACCTGGGATTCAAAACCAGGTCTGCACATAAATCATGAGGCAAATACATCGGTTTTTCTGGAAAGCCCAACCCTAGAGCTTATTCCTCTATAAACACCTTCCCTGCAGTTACCCCTGTTCTCATGATCCCTTCCTTCATCAGGAACAACTTAAACTCTTGGATGTAATATAGGGTTGTACTCTGTCATTGGCCAAAGCAGTTTGGGCGCCTGAAACAAGTGTGTGGATCCGGTGCCAGACCACCAACTCCTTCTTTTCTGTGCGCATGTGAGACGTATCAGTTCATCTCTCAGACTGCTGGAGTCGCACTAAATGTGT